GTCTAGACTCTAGACTCAACTAAAGAGAAAAGAAAAGAAAAGTAATCGAAGGATTAGGTTGAGACTTGACTTGCGGTGGAATGTGGATCGCCAACCCGGGGGCTGTGCGGCAGACTCCGAGTCCACGTTTTCCCGCATTTCGATCTCCGAGACTGATAGCTCCGAGTCAGATCATTCGGGAGCGTCAACCAGACTTAGCTTCGAATTTGCAGTTATGGAGAGATGATAGACAGAATTCAAGACTTTGATTATGTTTGCGGCAGGAGATCGTAACAGATATCTGCCGATCAAGAACACCATAGCAATGACTGGTACGGAACACTCCGTAGCAACATTCATTCTGTTGACTGCCTAGTTAATATCACGTGATGTAGGACCTCACGCTAAGCTTCTTTTGGATGAAGGCAGCACAACGGACTACTTCAGGTTGTACCATTGTACTCCACCCGACATCAAGCTCATCAGGCTCATCAAGCTCAAACGCACTGAAGTCAGGTGAAGGTACAGACTTGCTGTTTACAGTTTTGTCGCAACGGTCGCTCCAGCCTGCAAAGGGCAAGAGAAATGGAGGTTCCGTACACTTCAGGAGGGAACTCTCCCGTACTCTTCACTTTTCGCATACTTCGTTCGATGTTTCATTATGCTTGCTCTCATCTCGTACAATAGCTATGCTCGAGTATTGTGACCGCTGACTTTGAGATAGTACACATAGCATTCTTTTTGTTGGAAAGGCTAAAGACCTATTGAAAACTCCAGATGTTTGTGGATGCGGACAAATACCCAGGGCCCGTGGAGTAAACGTAACATTTTTTTTTCATATTCTATCCATCAGAGGTCGAGTGTATTTCTTTTCTGTTCTTTGCTGAATTCCAAACCCCGGCGACCTGATCATTAGCAGTGCAATGAACGGTTCGCTTCCTGCTCCCAAACTCCGAACGCTATGCGGGACGTCAAATCACAAGACCATAATTAGAATGACAAGTAGAAACAAATAGCCCAGTCTCAACAGACATCCACCCAAACGGTGATCAGATTTTAGAGTAGCTCTTCGCACGTCCAGTCCTCGTACCTAAATTTTTCGAAAGCGGATTAGACTTGCATCCATGCTCAAGGTCAAGGGATAACTTACGTTCCATCTGGCAGATATCTCCTCACAATGAGAGGGATCTTCTTCTGGTTCAGCTCCTTGATGGCGATCTGCAAAGGATCTGTCTCTCCCTCAAGATCTACAAGCACGGGAGCATTCATACTGTGACAAACGTCAACTCCACAGTCTCCACATGCCACATCTCACAAGGTGACGAACCTGATCTGCAAGGCTCTGGTACCCAGAACTCGCGCCCTTTCGTACTTGGTCATGTACGGGGTTGTCTTGCGTTCTTCGTTGGGAATTTTCTTCGCCCGTGCTTGTTCCACCACCTTGCCCGAATATCCAGCACTGGGATCGCCAGAGACGACGACACGGTCACCATTGACTGCCGGCGTATAGTGGTCGTCCGTATAGCCATCGGCGCCTCCCTCGGCACCTTCGAGATCCTCAGGGTTTATGAAGTCTTCGGGCTCATTTTCGTCGAACACCTCCTCCGCGGGCTCGTAGTCGTAGCTGTAAAATGTGCGAGTCAGAACGGCTGAACTAGCTCAAGAAGCCATTTTTGCCAGCGGAATGATGCAGCAAGCAAGCGGAATGCTTTCAGTCCAGAATGGAAAATGGAGTCTAAATGAGGTGTCCTTACGTTTCCTCAGCGTCGTGATCTCCGTAGTCAGACATGGTGTCAAATCAGAGCCAATGCTGGCAAACCAGTTAGAGAATAACCAAACGAGCGTGTTCAGCAGCCACACAAGCGAATGGATGACCAATATCACGTCCGAGGATAGAGACGCCGCGGAAAGATCGACCTTGCGACAGGCTTGGTGAAGATGAAGATTTCGATGTCGCGACCCTCCAAAAATGGCGGCGGAAAAAGTTCCTTGGTCCCGTTAACACTAAGCCCTTTTGGGTCAGCTTTGTCACCGCTTTTAACATCAGTAACCGGCAAAACTTTTTTATGATGTTCTTATCAGCAATTGAATGTGCCTTTGATGCATTGACCATTGTTCAGTCTATGCTCTTAATGGTTGTATCCCTGTGAAAGCCTGATATTAAAGGCTCTATTTGAGCCATGGGTGAGAAGCGCAAGCTTGAGCCGGATGAGCTCTCACTCCCGAACAAATTTCGAAAACATACGGCGCTGGACGACGCTGGTAAGACGCTTGAATCCTGGGATCGAATTGACTCTGGGGCTGAAAATCGCTGTCGCAGATCCGATATTCGAGGAACCTCAGTCAGATGCCGATTATGTATCTTCCGATGAAGCCAGTGTGAACAGTGACAGTCTCCACGAAACTCCAGCGACACCGTTCTCTACGACCTCTGCCAAATATCCCTCGGAGCTGAAAACTCACCGCTGCCCCTTTGAAGGTTGCACGAAGGCATTCAACCGGCCAGCGCGACTTCAAGAACACCTGCGCTCCCATAACAATGAGAGGATCTTCAAGTGCGAATTCGAAGAATGTGACAAGACATTCCTCCGCGCATCTCATCTGAATCACCACATCAAAAGCGCCCACACTGGGGTCCGAGACTACGTATGTGACCGTCCTGGTTGTGGGAAGAGCTTCGTGACCGGCTCCCGGCTCCGTCGACACCTGGCTGCCCACGATGGACGAGATAAATACCGCTGCACGGAGTACCCGCCGTGCGATGAGACGTTCCGAAAGCATTCCACCCTTCAAAAACACATCATGACCGCACATCTAAAGCAAAAACCTTTTCAATGCCCGCACACAGACCCGAGCACCGGGCAGAAATGTTCAATGGCGTTCGACACAGCAGGGCACCTTCGAGCCCACGAAAGCCGCGTTCACACCGAGAAACGTTTCAGTTGCACAGAGTGCTCCCAGCACGCTGAGGGCACCCCAGTAGCCGAGTCCGCCGCAGTGACTTTTCCCACCTACGCCCTCCTACAAGCTCATATCCGATCCGTCCACCCCCCGCAATGTCCCAACTGCGCTCTCACCTGCGCGACATCCCGCGAACTCCGCCGCCATCTCGAAGTCGCCCACGGAGACGTCAGTCTCGAGGAGCGCAAGATATTCGCTTGCACCGTACCTGGCTGCGGCCGCAGCTTCACCAAGAAGGGAAATCTAACCGTGCACATCCGCACCGTCCACCAGGGCGAGAAACGCTTCGTCTGCGGCGAGACCGACCTCTCGTCCTCGAAAAAGGTAGCCGGCTGGAACCACGACGGCTGCGGCAAGCGATACGGGAGCAAGCTCGCGCTGGAAGAACACATCCGCACCGCACACCTGGGCTACCAGAACGCCAAAGCCGAACGCCGCCAGCGTCTCGGCCTCACCAGGGATCGACAGCATTCTACCGCAACCTCGCCTGGTGTGTCCGCGCTGGCCGCGCTCACGGGTGAGGGCTATGCCGAGGAAACGGGCCGCCACATCGCGTGTCTTGTTGAGTCGTGCCCGCATCGGTTCCACAGAGACTATGATCTCTGGGTCCATATGAGCGGCAAGCATCGTTTCTCCGAAGAGGAAACCCGGGATTTATTTCTGCGGCGGGCGCTGCTCGCGCATGAGTTCGGTGCTCCTGCTCCTGCTTCCGCTTCCTCTGAGGAACTGTTTGGGGGAATCTACGGCCTTGAATTCGATGACGATCCTTCGTCGTATGACCCGTATGTTCTGGACGGGGCTGAGACGATAGCGGCTTCTGGCGCGGCCGAGTCGAAGCCGTTGCCTGCGCACGGTGCCGATGTAATGATGCATGACAATGTCAATTCTGCGATACCCACTACTGGCGATGATATGGCGCTGATCGATCCTATACTGGCTTACGATATGATGGATTCGTAGCATTGGAGCGATTTACTGTTGATTATATGTTCGGGATTTCCTTGAAAGATCTGCAAGGTCATACTTTTCTTCTCATAGATTCTATGCTTTGAACCGATCGTGATAAATGAGGAATATGCTGTATCAAATCTCTTTTTTAATCCACAAGGTCGCATGTAGATCGCATAGATGACTGTCAACCTCATACTCGTACTCCTACGCAAATCTAGCAGGCCGTCAGAAGTGGAATACTATAATCGAGTCCAATCACTCACCTTTACTCTGAACAGCACGGTCTTTATGATTATCGAGCTGCCGAAGGTCAGTAGTCGTCAAGAGTTCAGACCTATCAAACCAGGGCCCGTCAGAGCCGGTCTGGCCGTCAGTACCTTCCTGGGTTCAGGAGTCAGCATTCACAAAGCAAAACCTGGTGAGGCCCCAAGCGGAGACACTCATCTCGGCGTGAGTCACTATGTTGCACGAAATTCAGCATCATAATCTGGTTGGTTGAACAGTTAGCTGCTGGCTCCGCGCCGCGTAACGTGAGATAAAAAATGGAAAAATGCATCAGCCATGAGTAACAGAACAAAAATCACAAAGAAGGGTATGAGTAATTAATTATGTAAGTACATATGTGCTTTTTCTTTTTTTTTTTTTTTTGCTGTTTCATTCATGACCCTTGAAATGAGTGTCTTTGTTTCTTCGATATGGAATCTAGATGGGCCGCAATGCCTCGACAAGTGCCAACAGAAGACCGGCCCCGAGCGCATGCGATCATCGCAGCCAGGAAGCTTCAAAAGAAGACAAAAAGCATCTTCAACCACGAAGAAATGAGTTGGGAGCCAAGGGGTTTTGTGCAAGATGTAATGTAAGAAAGAAGATGGATGACCGTACCAAACCAGATTGAAATGGATACTTGAGACTGAACGCAGCTCAAACCGTCAACCGTGACTTCTTTCCGTTGTTTTTTGGTTGTTTTCTCCTTTTTTTTGTGTCGATTTTCGAATGATCCCGAGAGGAGATGGCCAAATTACAGTCCAAAGGCGGATATTCAACGGAATCGCTGGCCCAGGCGACATCAAGGCTGTGCAGGGCGTCACTCCGGGCGTGCGGTTTGAATCCTAGATCGAACGTGCGTAACCTGCAAAGCGGTAAACCATTCGCTCTTCCTCGGGGGAAGCAGGGTGGTCAAGAGTTGTTTCCTCAGCAGGAAGGCTTGCAGAAGGAATAGCCAGGGGGGCGGTCTTCTTCGCCATGTTCTGCTAAACAAGTAAAAGTTAGCAACCTCGATAGAAAGATTAGATAGCCTAATTCATATCCTGTGTAGACCAACCATGTGACTGCCCTCCCAAGCACCAGCGAGAGATCCATGGATTTCGGGGAATTGAGTGACCATCCGAATCTTCATGCCCGGGGAAGATTGGCGACCAGAGGTGCCGTGGTTGGAATCGCCCGGCTTCTTCTTGTCGGTTTTCTTCTTCAGAAAAGAGGTCATCTCGATCTGGCACAACACCAAATTCTTGGAAGATCTGAAGAGGTCAACGAAGAAGTTCGGGTTGCGGTCCGCGTAGATCTTGTCGTCGTAGGGAAATGGGGTCGGGACCTGGGATTTAATCGAACTGGGGCACAGTCTGATCTCGGAAAGTTTCTGCATAAAGAGGATGTAACTGATCCTGGGTTTCTTGGAGGGCTTATGGATGGTAAAGTTACGAGCAACGTCACAAAAGAGATGGAGGGGTGCATGTCCTCTCGCTAGACCAAGCCACTGAGCAACCTTGAACAGCAGACTCATGACTTTTTTCTGGTGATCGTTCAGAGACCAATCAGATACATCGACAAGATCAACATCGATAGCGGACGAGCGAGGAACCTTGATATGTTCTGGTGGCAGCCATCCAAATCCACGAGCCTTATCATGGTCATGCTCCATGGCATGGTGTTTGAAATACTGGTGGAACTTTGTGAGCTCAATTTCAGATTCCAGATAATTGTTCCATCCAATGGTCGCTTGAGAGCTGTCGCACCGCTGCGCCCTCATGCTTGTCAGCTGAGTGCGCTCAGTGCCGACGGGAAGATCGATATAGAAGTGTCCTGCGTTCATTGTGGTTAGCTTCATCGTCATGTGAAATAGTGACGTGCAATCTTACTTTCCTCGTCAACCTCCTCTATTGCAGACTTCATGTCCCTCTCGAACGCTCGAATCACCCTGATGGACGCTTCAAGAGAATTGCAGGACTTGCCAATTTCAAAGGGCCTGCAGCTGATCCAGTATATGGCCTTGTCATCGTCACCACGCAAAGTCGATAACAGCCGTCTCAGCATCTCAATCTCGGACATGAAGAACGTCTCGTCAACCAGTTGAGTCTCTGTCGGCTCACAGAACATAATGGGATAACGAGCACGCAGCCACCGAACTAGATTTACTTGGACGGTTTCGATCTTGCCGTCGGTCTGAAGAAGGAGGATCAAGAGATGAGCGAACGAGCCAGGGAACAGATCGTCCCCCAGCAATGGTAGCGTAGCCATGATCTCTCGAGTGAGAGAGTCGGGATCGAATCCTTTGGCGAATTCGTCCATCAGTTGGGCAAAAGTCTGACGCTCGGCCGCGGTTATCTCTTTGACTTTCCGATCAGCCAAAGTCAGACACTCATCGTCACTCGCTTCGATGTCGACGGGTCCAACGGTAGTTTCGAAAGGATCATCGCATTCAAACTCAGGTGAGAGAGGGAACACCTCCATTTTGGCGACAAAAAGGCTCAGCCACTGCTCATTGGAAGTTTCGAAACTTGAGACAGACAAAACACAACAAAGCACGCAAAAGAAAACGCCAAAAAAAAAGACAAAGAAAGAGAAAGACAACCTGGGGAGGAAAACAAACAAAATAAAAGCTGAAGCTGGAAGGATGCCCGTGAAGTCGGTTTGTTAGCCAAGTGATTTGGCTAAAGCATACGACACAACTCCACGTGCTGTCGGAATAATCAAGATGGTATTGAGAAATAAACAACGCGTTTTGGTAATGTAGAAGAAGGAGAGTTTTGGGAGAGATGAAAAGAAGTTGGGGGGAGGAAGAGGTCAGAGATGTGCTGAGGGTGAATGAGCAATGAGCAGTGAATATCTGTTGTCATGGCGAGGATGCCACACACAACATCATCTCAAGAGGAGGAACCTGCTTGAATTGATATTCACCTTTTTTCTGGGAAACTGTCATTAGAGCTATTGTCGGTCAATCTCAGTGACAAACTGGATTACCCTTGGATTCAAGGCGAGGACAGCTGTCATCCGAGGCTATCTTTCCCGTCAGAATTTGAGTCTTCACTCCAGGGTGAGGATTCATTAACTCTGACTGGGCTCATATATGCCCTCACATTATCATCATTGCAAAAGGATAGATACGCGGTCAGTCAATCGCTCCTGTTCCATCACCTTGAGGCAGCTCTGTTAGCTTAGGCCTAGTTCGACAACTGAGGCCATAATCTTCAGGGATGATCTCTAGGGCTGATCCTAGTGAATTCATCACGAATCAGGTAAGTTCCACTTTGGAATAGATGCCGGAATGATGATGTTGTCTAAAGCCGGACAGTTTGCACCTTAGAGAGTTCACCCATTGGGGAATGGATGTGGACGTTCTCTCCGCTCGAACGGTCTATCATAAGCATGTAGCAAGCGACTTCCTGATTTGAGTCGAATCCATTGCGAGATTGGAACACAATAATACCTCAAAGAGTCGAATGCATCGAGTCAGTCTCACAGTCTCGTCTGAGTCTCCGGATCGTCCAGTGTCTGTTCTGGATTGCGGCGCGCCGAGTGGTGCTTGCCTGGAGGATCAGACCACCACAGGATCTCTGAATGTCCGTTAGGACGTCTTTCTGATCTTCTTCAACAATCCATGATCTGAGAAATGATTACAGAATAGTGGACCAGAGCAATATGAGCATCCAAATGAAACGTGCCGAGTACGTTCACACTCGAATAGACTAAGAGGGAGTACCGCTATGTCGTGATCTAGACTTCCCCACCGAACCCCTCATTTATTGAGTCAATCCGGGATGTGGATACTACTGGCACTGGCAAGGGTTCACCATCGATTGTCAGAATCAAGATTAGTCTTTTCTATTCCTCACTAATAATGATCATGCCTCGGGCCAAGAGCATGTTCTGAGGACGAAGACCTCTTGAATGAGACGGGGAAACAACAAGTTAAGAGCCCAGACTTCCGGTGATGGACTGTGCGATAGATCAACGACCTGACGTAAGTCCGGGGTGGCTTGTCGAGGATTTGATCGAGATTCGAACGTCTCAAGTTTCCAAGCTGACCATGGACTGTTACTACTAGGATGAGGGAATATCTATCTAATGAATTATGATTAGATACGTGGTTGATCATCAAGCCCTCCTCAGATTGATCATCCACGTCCATGGGTCAAAGAAAATAAAGCCCACCTGTGAGGTCATATTCTGCCATCTGGGACTCCGGTTACAGCAAAAGATCGCTGCTTTCAGTGCGCGGCCGATGGAGTTCTGTTGGGAAGCTCCGCTCTAACTACCGAGTCTAAGGCGATAAACTCGCTGTCGGTGGATCGCTGCCACATATCAGTCACTAGATGATCGCTGTGCCATGATCTAGCACAATGATACAGGTGTAACTCGAACAGGTCCATTCTCTGCTGGAGTTCGAAAAGAAAAACTTTTATGGTGGCAAGGTGTGCCTTTCCCTTCGCACAATAACCATGGAAAACAAATCAAGTGGCTTAATCCATGGCACGCAGCCAGGGACACACCGGACAGGCACAAGAGTGTTAGGACTTGGGACTTGTGAGTTAGGATCTTAGACTTGGACCCTCCACTCATCGGACCAGAAGTTTGCCACTGATTAAATTGCCTTGATACACAAAGACAGGATGATATCAAATCCTCCTACTTGAACTTGCTTTGTGGGCAATTATACCTAATCCTGATAGCCTGGCGTACAGTGGCCTGTAATAAAGTAGCATTTACCTACGACAAATGCCCTTGTGGGCATTCGGATGTGTACGGCTACAAAGTGCTGTCCAACTGTCTAAACGCCCAAATGTCCAAACTTCCACACAACTCCGCTGTTGAACTGAATTGCGCTTGGCGCTCACCTATGTGGTCGCTTCTCCTCGCCTCGTGGAAAACACAGCAGAGAGAGAGGGTCAAAAAGGGTGCTCTTACTTCTTAGACCAGACTTATCCCGCCAAGCAATCAGTAGCAGCAGTAATAGCAGTTCAGCCTAGTCCGAGAATAGACATCTCTGCTTCTCCCTTGGCTTCTCTCTTACCAGTAAGACATGCATATTTCTGTGTTGCTATATTTGGGTGTATTGTCTACCGGAGTAAGGAGTAGTCAGATTTGTCTTGTCAGAACAATAGAACAACGGTCAAATTTGTTAGTAAATATCACATCGACTCGATACAACAGTCTGGAAAATCTATGTCTCTTTTCTGCCTCTCATCTGAGCGAGAATTATCCTCCGGAGACTCAACCCCTATTCGATATTAACCACCTTAGATTCACTATTTTTTATCCGTCCATAAGGGTACTACTATGCAATACTAGTAGATTGCGTCTAGTGTACATAAGATACCCTAAGGTAGATACTTATTGCTTCCTGTCTTTACCGCGGGGTGGTTGGTCTGGCCGCGTCACGAATGATTTAGTAACCAATGATAAATATTACTATCATTATTCATTAACAGTGGCTAAGGTAGCGACGGTCTACCAGATGATTACTCCATTGATTTGTCTATCGAACAATGGCAATGGCAGTACACAGTAGTGGAGGGCAAGAGAAGAATGTGTCTGATCATGTACATCGTAGACAGAATGACCAAATAGACGAGAGCAATGATCGCATTCAAGGAAGAGATGGATAACCCAAAGTCAAAACCTCCAGATATGATGAAAGGTGTCGAAGCGGAAGACAAAAAGAAAAACCGGCAATGACGCCAGCCGCTAGATACTTGCTTGGCCCGGTGGTTCCTCAATCCTCATTCATGGGAGCACCTAAATAGTTCTGTATGTCTCTGATATTGGTATCTGGTAAGGTAGGTAGTCTACCTAATAGTTCATCCAAACCCCTTCTCCTGTTACTATTTCTCCTATTCCATCCCTATTATCATTATCCTTTGACTACAATCAATATCCTCCTGATCGTCCCTCCACCCTGAAGAATAATTCAACAGGAAAAAAAGGGAAAAAGGAAAAAAGGAAGCTCGGCGAAACAGGTGGTAATACAGTTACCACTTTCACCTTTAGACCCACGTTCCGCGACAATCACTAAGGTACTACCTACAATACGTACTCCTCCTACTACGGAGTCCTTACTACCTTACTTACCCTACGATCCTTCTTCCTCTCATCTCTCTTTAATCTAATCCTTCTATCTTTTCCTCTCTCACTCATTTTCTGGATTTTCTCTTTGATTGTTTCCTCCTCGAATAACCTATTCCCCCTCCCCTCTTCTCCTCATTTCTACCCACCGACTCTGCCGCTGTTCGCCCCGCCTTCGTTCCCTCCGCTGATCAAAGGAAGACTGAGACATCAAGCCTGTGACTGCGATTATCCAAGTCAGGCGCTTGCAACCTGACCCTTTCCTCGTCACCCGCCCATCTTGGCAGTCATTGCGACTCTGTCCGGTTGTGACCTGTCCTGCCACTCTTTTCAGAACGCTATTTTTGTCTGCTCCAACAATTCGTCAAATCCTACATGGAATCATCTTCTCAATAGCTCCCAATCTTGGCGGGCCCCGAGACCCCATTGCTACCTCCGCGCGGAGGAGCCCGGATTCAACACACTGTCACTTTTTTTTCTTACTCTTCATCTCTCGTTGCTTGTCAGTTGTTTAGCAGCGACCTGAACCTTTTCCCTATCGTTCCGGTCGAGTTGCTTGACGGTTGAGTGGCATATCTGTCATCTCAAAAGTTGAGCCGGCCGCTGGTTTTTTTCCCCAGCAACTTCTACCTCAATTCTATCAATAGATCAGCCACCAGAGTCTAGACCTCGAACATTATGGTTCGTTCGCGTGGTGAGTAAACGATCGTCTCCTTCCCCGAATTCCCAATGACGGTAACTGATAACCCCTTGCGTTATCAGTGCGGTCTTTCATATCGGCCTTCGGTGGCTCGTCCCGCAAGGAGAATGCCGGACAGCATCATCGTACGTCTTCAGCCTCAATCACGTTGAACAATTCTCCGTCAACATTCGAGACTCCTTCTTCCGATACACCCTCACCGATCGAAGGCTCGCCGTTGCAGTTGGCAACTAAAGCGGAACGTCGCATTTCTCGGCCACCATCGACGGTCTTCTCCCACAATCCTCCGTTGACGGAGCTTTCAGAAGACACGCCGCCAGAGCTTCAGCCGATATTCACTTACCTCAATAACCACGCGAACAAATTGTACCATGAAGGATATTTTCTGAAACTGAATGATCTGGATACCCGTATGTGCTCTCTCATGTGTCTGATCGAAACCAGCACGATCTGACTTAATTGCATTTAGAGGGCCGGCCTTGTCTCGATCGACAATGGGTTGAATGCTATGCGCAACTTATCGGAACTGTTCTTTCAGTATGGGATGCCGCTGCGCTGGACGCAGCACCAGAGGGCGAAGAAGTCCCTTCCACATTCATCAATCTGGCGGATGCTTCAATTAGAGTCGTGAGTACCAGATGAGGGGTTATAGAATTATTGGACTCTCTAACAAAAGGCAGATTGAATC